TGCCTTCAACACAACTCCAGATATAGTCCTAATTAGGTCTAATATAATAAACATGGCAAGAACCACGAATTGATATCCTTAAGCATCATACTTCAGTCTCATGTGGACAAACATGCATAAACTAAAACTGTTAAACATACAAGAGAGTACAAATATAACTACATTAAATGCATTTCCTATTCTCTTATACATCAAGTTTTGTAAAATTTGATTATCAGCCACAAAATTATCTGTCATCTTCAAATGTAGTCTTGACAAGCAATTGTGCCATTTCTAGCAGCCAGTTGTTGTTGTTGTTTGTTATTAAGCACAAAGCTATACAAAAGGCAATCTGTGCTCTGCCCACCACGGGTATTGAAACCTGGTTTCTAGTAGTACAAGTCCACAGACCAGAGAGATGATATACCAATTACCATGGTAAAAGCCCTCAAAGTTTGTGTGTTGGCAAGTTCTACGTATATGTGTATATATATATATATATAATTCCATTTGCCAAGATGTAAATTATGTAACCCTTTGGACCCCAGTACCTTTTCACTTTTACAAGAACAAATTACATCAAGTTCAAAAAAACTCTCTCATCCTCCCCATCACAAAATACCCAAAAAATAAACTTATAACCAAAATGTTCAGGTTTAGAATTTTGTTTTGATGTATATTTATTAACATGTTTTGAGGGATAAAGTAATAAAAACCCAAATTTCTAACTTTAATTTAGATTTTAGACCCTCTTCCAATTACAATTTTTATTTGGGATGTAGAAATGTTTAAACTTCCTAACTGCAGAGATCAAAATTGTCAAAATACAAAAGAAAGTTGTGAATCTGTAGTTGTTGTACATGTTGTGCCTTTTTCTAGCTCAATTCCTATGAAAAGAGTTGGTGGTGTCAAAAACTAAAATGCAACTAACTGTATTTCCTGTTTTACAAGTTCCAAGCTTCTGATACTAAAAAAATCATTAATATATTGTTTGGAAGCTGGAGAATGTTTTCTTTCTCACAATCTATTTGTTTTAGTGCTCCCTTTCTTCCTTATATAGATTTATACAGGCTAATAAATGTGAAACCTTGCTTTCAGGTAAATAGTCATGGGCACATTACATAATGGCACAGCATATAGCTTTTTAATGTAGTGGTTTTTATTTCATGACTTGTAGTGTAAGTTTAAACTAATTTCAAAAATGTTCAAAGGTTATCATTTTATTCGTTTGAAATGCTCATGTTTGAGATACATTGACATTTATGTTTATTAATGTAAATACAAAATTGGCCAGTATAATGCCATCAAACTGGAAATGATTAATTCTATAAAATAATCAGAAAAATATGTAGATTGAGCTGGCAAATTTTAATAGTTACCTTATAAGTTATAATTTTGTTTACTGGACAAATCAAAACTTTAGTCAAACATTATGGCTGAGAGAAAAATGCTTCACTCATCAAAAATAAAACAAAAAAGTTCTAAATATTAAATACTGAAATTTTCTGACTAGTGATTTCTCTTTGGCTGATGAACAATAACACACCAGAAACCTAGTTTGAGTGAAGAAATTTCAAATGAAAACTTTAATGAATGTGGCTTCTATAGTTTTTTTCTGCTTCTGCAAACCATTAAGAATGCTATAAAGAATTGACTAAGGGGAATCCGAAACATTCAACACATACAGAATATTTATCTTTTGTATTTGTTTTTTTTTTTTGCTATGATACTTTCAAACAAGAAATTATTTTTAGAATCCCATTTAACCAGGAAATAGAAGTTGGAAATAAAATTATGAACG